CCCAACCAAAACTGCTCCACAGCCACATCAGGAGGAAAACAGCAGTGAAGGAACAAGTGATGAAACTGAGAAAAAGGGAAGAACAGATACACAGAGAATGACAAGGAGGTGTGTGAAGAACTCAACAGGAGAGTCCAGGAGATCTTCACAATGGAACAAGGAGAAGTCCTTGCACTAAAGATAGAGAAGATTCAGAGGTATGCCACCAGACTAGTCCCGGAACTGAGAGGTATGAGCTACGAGGAAAGGCTAAGGGAGCTTAACCTCACATCCCTGGAAAACAGAAGAGTAAGGGGAGCCATGATAACCACCTACAAAATTCTCAGTGGAATTGACAGGGCGGACAAAGACAAACTCTTCAGCACGGGCGGAACACGAACAAGGGAACACAGGTGGAAACCTAATACCCAAATGAGCCACAGAGACATTAGAAAGAATTTTTTAAGTGTCAGAATAGTTAACAAATGGAATGCATTAAGCAGTGATATGATGGAGGCAGACACCATACACAGTTCCAAATGTATATATATGACAGAACCCAGTAGGCTCAGGAACCTGTAAACCAGTTGACTGACGGTTGACAGGCCGGACCAAAAAAGACAGAACTCAACACCCGCAAGCACAAGTGAGCACAATTAGGGGAGTACACACCAAGCCCAACTAGGTGTGTATATATATACACACCACACGAAAAATGCCTAAACGTCCCCACCACTGAGTGTGAACTAAGACGCAGCTGGGGACCGTGCTACAACCGCCCTTAAATAAGATATTAACCCACCCCCCCTGTCCTCCTCTTCCACCTCTTCCTCCTCTTCCTCCTCCTCCTCTTCCTGGAGGCTGGCACCTGGCCAGGACACACGAGGGGTTTTGTCCACCGGTCACCAGATTATGAGCTGTCCGGCCACCACAGACTTGGCTCAACTGATTTATTAACTGATGGCCATATATATATATATATATATATATTATATATATATATATATATATATATATATATATATATATATATATATATATATATATATATATATATATATATTGACCAATACGTCCATAATTTTATCGTCATAAATAAGAGTTCCAAACGAGGCTATTTAATTCACTTTATATTTATATTCCTTTATATTTCTTTATATTTCTATATGGTAATTCTAAGAAGCTAGAATTGTTTCACAAGGTCATGAGGAAACTCCTTGTTAGCGGCAGTTAGTCTGAAGAGCCTTAAGGAACTGGTTAGAAGTCATTTGACGCTGACTGGTGTGACAGGCTGGATGTGACGGGCCGGATGTGACGCTCTCAGGTGTGACGTTACCTACAGTGTGACGCTGGAATGTGATCGACCCGTCTCGCATCTGGAGTAAACATCTCTATTACAGCAGGGAGCCGGCAAGATGATTCCCTGGTGATTGGCTGGGAGATGGAGAGAGAGAGAGAGAGAGAGAGAGAGAGAGAGAGAGAGAGAGAGAGAGAGAGAGAGAGAGAGAGAGAGAGAGAGAGAGAGAGAGAGAGAGAGAGAGAGAGAGACAAGAGACAGTAGACCTCCCTCAGTCCCTCACCACACAAAGGATGTATGGGTTTCGTGACTGGAACAAACTCCTGGGTATATGACTTAGTGGCTTTGTGGTGGTGGTGAATGTGGTGGATATATATATATATATATATATATATATATATATATATATATATATATATATATATATATATATATATATATATATATATATATATATATATATATATATATATATATATATATATAATACATAAAGACTAATCCTGTGGAAAACAACATTATACAACCCCCTAACAGCTTTCTTGCGTGGAGTCGAGTCGACGAAATAGTCGTTGACTCGAAGCTGGATAGTTCAGGTCTCGCCTGGCAAAGGTAAGTGGATTCGAAGACGTGTAATGGCAAAGTGTGTCAGAACACTGAGTCACAACAGTTGTGTTGATCCAAGTGAAAGGTTGATCGGTTGAGACGGCTATGGTGAAGGATAGCATTAGTTTGTTCATATATTATGGCCGCCATATCTATCCCGTGGGTGGTGGTGGACCCCATACCCATCCCATGGGCGGTGGTGGACCCCATACCCATCCTGTAGGCGGCGGTGGTGGACCCCATACCCATCCCGTGGGTGGCAGTGGACCCCATACCCATCACATGGGCGGCGGTGGACCCCATACCCATCACATGGGCGGCGGTGGACCCCATACCCATCCCATGGGCGGTGGTGGACCCCATACCCATCCCATGTGCGTAGTAACAACGGAAAAAGTCATTTTGCTCAGAACGTAACAATCTTGTGAAATAAATGGCCGTATAATACTGATGTCAACAGACCTTTTATATATATATGGCAGCAAGTGGCTCAAGAAGTGGCCCATAGAGCAGTCTCTTCTATACAGAGCAATTAACGTCTGTGGTGAGCCTGTTAGACTCGCAAATCCATCCAATGGGACGCTGGGATTCACGGAGAGCGAGTCTCGAGCCCAGGAAGGTAAGGAAATACCCACGTGTTCGTAGATTAAGATTCAGTAGATTAAGATTCAGTTTCTTGAGAGCCCGTCCTCAGGCTAAGCGTGTCGAAACAGCTGCGGACCCCAAAAACCCATTCATAAAATTGAACGTTTGCAAAGCTGGGAGCCAGATTCACGAAGCAGTTACGCCAGTACTTACGAACCTGTACATCTTTTCTCAATCTTTGGCGGCTTTGTTTACAATTATTTAACAGTTAATGAGCTTCGAAGCGCCAGGAGGCTGTTTATGACAATAACAGTTGATTGGGAATTGTTCATGCTTGTAAACTATTTAATAAATGTAATCAATGCCGTCAAAGATTGAGTAAAGCTGTACAGGTTCGTAAGTACTTGTGTAACTGCTTCGTGAATCTGGCCCTTTGTTTTTTTCATATATAAATTAATATTAGTGTATAGAAGAATTTTAGCGCATAGTTAGCCCTATGGTAAGTGTTCGTGTTCTGTTGGCGATTATTTGTATATGTACATGCCCGCCAAACACACACCGAAACTACGACGTTGGTACAACGTTCGAACGAGTTTTAACACCTCCTAACCAGTTATAACAACCAATATAGCGAGTTGTAACAACGTTCTAATACGTCAGAAACACGTTAAGCCAAGATGTAACAACTTTATTACAAGTTGTAACAAGCGGAAAATAGAGACAGTTACGGTTTGTGTTTCCAGGGGTATAGTACATTGGTGAAGCATTGACAATGAGGCGATTCGAACACAAACAGCGAAGCACTCTTCGAGAAATATTTGTTTCAAGTTTACATCAGTTTTGAGTCGTATATAAACTAACCCGTCCTCATAAACCAAGACTAAATGCTCATTAATCCAGCCGCCAAAAACCCTTGTTTATGAATGGGAAAAACAGTTTGCACACGACTCACAATTAATGACGTCCGAACACTTCCGGAACAAGTGCTTCGTTCACTGATCGACCCACAAGGCTGTAAATGATTCACACCACGTCCTTCAAATACAAATAATAGTCAACCAGGGCCCCCCATAAACACCCAACCTAGTCCTAACTATACATGCAATATAATTCCATAATAATATTAATTTCATGTGAAAACAAACACATAATTACACAAAGGGGGGGGGGGAAGGGGGGCGGTGACGGGGGTGACGCCCCCCCCCCGGTGCTCTCACAAGCCTCACCTGAGGACGGATTTGTAAAAACTATATATATTTTTCATCCAAAAACTGTGGGGTTTAACGGGTGGATTAGCGAGCATTTGGCCATTGTTCTATGAGAACGAGCTGCATGCTGGACCCACCACGTATCCAGCAGAACCTTTTGAGCACCAAAAAAAAAAAAAAAAGGCAGAGTAACAGATCTTTATTTTGTAAGTGTCATTAGTATGCTAAGTGGCAGATATACTCGTCAGCGGGGTATACTTATAGAGGTGTATAAGACAAAGACACATTATATATATAATATATAATATAATATATAAGGAAGGACCTTCATTTTAAGTCGTGATTCATTTAACTGTGATGTGCAGCGAGTCATTCGGGACGGAACCGGTTCATCCCGTCCACTGTCACGATATATACAACGGGAGGTATACGAAGAGGTATAACCCCTCCCCCCCTCCCCTTCTCTGTGTGTATACGCGGAGGGTTTTTCTTAGGTCCTTTAGAGTATGTTCAGGCCTAAGATATACTTGATGATCAGGTAAGCTATTGTGGTTGGCTTAATAACTCTTCAGAGGTTGATGTAGGCGGTAAGACTAACACTAAACCTTCCCCCCTCCCCCTTCTTTATCTTCTCCCCCAAACCCCCCTTCGTACACTCCCCCCCCCCCCTCCACTCTTGATGCTTCCTCATCTATTCCATATTTCTCATCCCTAAACATCAATCTACTTTCCCAGTCTCTCTGTATACCGTTCCATCACCCTCCACCTCTGCCCTTTCCTTACCTATTAGCTACCCCTTTCCACCTCACCCCTTCCTCTACTATAACCCCATCACAACCCCCTTTACCTGTCTAACACCTCCCCTTCCCACCACCCCCACCCCCAGTATCTACGTACCATTTTCTTTATCTACTTCATTCTCCCCCCCCCCCGTGTCATCTACTCTATTCCTGGAGGGGGGGTTGAGAGGGGGGTTCTCACCCCCCCTGCACTCGAAAGTCAAGAGCCACGCCTCTAGTATTGTCGGCTCTGGGTGAGATTAAACCCTCGTTTTTATCTCAATATTTTGTTTAAATGTTTTAAAAGCAAGTGGAACAGTCATAACTGGCTGCCTCCTCCCCTCCCTAGTGCATGTGTAACTCCATAATCTTTTTAAGAGGGAGGAAAGCCATGCATTTCCCCCCACCCCCCATACTGTCATTCCCCTCTCCTATACAGTCATTCCCTCCCCTCCCCCCCACCTTCTTAAACCTTCCATCTCCCTCACTGCTCTTGCCCTTTCTATCCTGTGCTGTTCTGGTGTTCAGATCGTGATATATGCTATATCAGATAGGGGGTGCTGCTATATCGGTAGGGGGTGCTGCTATATCGGTAGGGGGTGCTGCTATATCGGTAGGGGGTGCTGCTATATCGGTAGGGGGTGCTGCTATATCGGTAGGGGGTGCTGCTATATCGGTAGGGGGTGCTGCTATATCGGTAGGGGGTGCTGCTATATCGGTAGGGGGTGCTGCTATATCGGTAGGGGTGCTGCTATATCGGTAGGGGGTGCTGCTATATCGGTAGGGGGTGCTGCTATATCGGTAGGGGGTGCTGCTATATCGGTAGGGGGTGCTGCTATATTGGTAGGTGTTGCTATATCGGTAGGTGTTGCTATATCGGTAGGTGCTGCTATATCGGTAGGTGTTGCTATATCGGTAGGTGCTGCTATATCGGTAGGTGCTGCTATATCGGTAGGTGTTGCTATATCGGTAGGTGTTGCTATATCGGTAGGTGCTGCTAAATCGGTAGGTGCTGCTATATCGGTAGGTGCTGCTATATCGGTAGGTGCTGCTATATCGGTAGGTGTTGCTATATCGGTAGGTGTTGCTATATCGGTAGGTGCTGCTATATCGGTAGGTGCTGCTATATCGGTAGGTGCTGCTATATCGGTAGGTGTTGCTATATCGGTAGGTGCTGCTATATCGGTAGGGGGTGCTGCTATATCGGTAGGGGGTGCTGCTATATCGGTAGGGGGTGCTGCTATATCGGTAGTGGGGGGGGGGGTTGCTTTTAGCTTGGTAGAGGATGCTGTTAGGCCGGCAGGTGGGAGAGTTCTAGTAAATGGGTGATACTGTTATGATAGGTGGGATGGAAGGTTAGTTCATCTCTGGCACGTAGGAGGGCCACCTATCTAGTAGGTGGGTGATGGGGTTGGTTATGGCTGATTGGTGGTGCTGGTTAGGTAGGTGAAGGCGCTATTGTGTCTTGTAGGCAGTGATGTTCTGGAAAGTGGAGATGTATAGCTACAGTAGGTGGGGTTGTGTTGCTACAGTAGGTGGGGGTTGTATTGCTACAGTAGGTGGGGTTGTGTTGCTACAGTAGGTGGGGTTGTATTGCTACAGTAGGTGGGGTTGTATTGCTACAGTAGGTGGGGTTGTGTTGCTACAGTAGGTGGGGTTGTATTGCTACAGTAGGTGGGGTTGTATTGCTACAGTAGGTGGGGTTGTGTTGCTACAGTAGGTGGGGTTGTATAGCTACAGTAGATGGGGTTGTATTGCTACAGTAGGTGGGGTTGTATTGCTACAGTAGGTGGGGTTGCATTGCTACAGTAGGTGGGGTTGTATAGCTACAGTAGGTGGGGTTGTATTGCTACATTAGGTGGGGTTGTGTTGCTACAGTAGATGGGGTTGTGTTGCTACAGTAGGTGGGGTTGTATTGCTACAGTAGGTGGGGTTGTGTAGCTACAGTAGATGGGGTTGTATTGCTACAGTAGGCGGGGTTGTGTTGCTACAGTAGGTGGGGGTTGTATTGCTACAGTAGGTGGGGTTGTATTGCTACAGTAGGTGGGGTTGTATAGCTACAGTAGATGGGGTTGTATTGCTACAGTAGGTGGGGTTGTGTTGCTACAGTAGGTGGGGTTGTATTGCCACAGTAGGTGGGGTTGTATTGCTACAGTAGGTGGGGTTGTATAGCTACAGTAGGTGGGGTTGTATAGCTACAGTAGGTGGGGTTGTATAGCTACAGTAGGTGGGGTTGTATAGCTACAGTAGGTGGGGTTGTATAGCTACAGTAGGTGGGGTTGTATAGCTACAGTAGGTGGGGTTGTATAGCTACAGTAGGTGGGGTGATGTTGTCCCATTAGGTGGATGAGTCTGCTTGCTCCTGCTTCGATAGATGTGTAGTTGAGAGGAAGACTTCTAGACTAGACTCGGAGCTGGATAGACTGAACTACGAAGATGAACTTGAAATAAATGGGAGATGATCCAGATATAAACGAAATACTCCATTTCTTCTACTAAATAGTTGAAATGAGATGCTTAGAGATAACGAGACGAGAGGATATGCATGGAAGTTAGACCATAGATGTATTGGTTGTTGGGAAGCACTTGTTTAGTGTAAGGGCAGTTAGTAAGTGGAACAAGCTTAAGGGGGGGGGGGAGGAAATAATGGAGGAAATCCTCCCTCTCTCAGTAATTCTAAAATCAGTTATGACAATATAAAACAGATGGGTTTAGGGGAATTGCAATAGACGACCGATAGTAGGATAGGTGGGCCCAGGATCTGAAGCTCGGTCCTGATAAATTCTGTTAAATAAGCACTTCAGTAAGAGTACACACAGGCACACAAGCTCAACACACACACACACACACTCACACACACACACACACACACGCACGCACGCACGCTCAACCCACACACACACGCAAGCACAACTAGGTGAGTACAGCAACAGGGATTCAGTGACGGAAAATCTTGACTGACAAAATCTATTTGAATATACAGTCAAGATAAGCAGTCAAACATGAGAGAAAGAAGGTGGCAGAATGAATCTTCCTTAAACATCAGAAAGTGAGGGAGTACCTCACAGGGAAGAAGCAAAGGGTTACAATCTAGAGAGAAGTGAAGAGAGGTAATGAGTGGAGTACCGGAAGGCTCGGTGTATGGGCCCACCCTGTTTCCAATATTCAGCCAACGACCTAGCAAATAAAACTGGTTTATAAATACCGTCGTTTTCTTATGATGGAAATGAACCGCGGGAGTTTTGTGATATATTTCAGAATGAATTAGACAGCCTTCTAAGCGACGCCTACTGGACTTAAGCCAGACATACATATGTCAAGCTCTGAGCAGTGCCATAGGCACCTCCCCAAGTTCAGAGTGAAGAGGTCTCACCGTGGTGTAGTGGTAAGACACTCGCCTGGCGTTCCGCGAGCGCTTTGTCATGGGTTCGTATCCTGGCCGGGGAGGATTTACTGGGCGCAAATCCTTAACTGTAGCCTCTGTTTAACGCAACAGTAAAATGTGTACTTGGTTGTAACAACGATTCTTCGCGGCGGGGATCGTATTCCAGGGAGCTGCCCGAAACGCTACGCGTACTAGTGGCTGTACAAGAATGTAACAACTCTTGTATATTTCTCAAAAAAAAAAAAAGGTAAGCAGACAATGCCATGACAACGACGTCAGCGATACACGCTACGCTGGTCAAGGCCGCGATAGACCTCAGTAACGTAGACCAAATTCAGAATTAAAAGAAAACACTATCTTGTTGTAGCAGGAAAACCCGGCATAAATATATCCACAAAACTAATTAACTATGAAGAGAGACTGAAAGAACCAGACCTCATCACACACCAGCAAAAGATAGAACGGGGGCAGACATGATAACGGCATATATAATCGGAAATTTACCAAGTAGATAAAGATACAACGTTCAAAGTAACGAACAGCAGAACAGGAAGACATAGATAGGAGCTAGAGATATAATGCTTCACAACCTCTTCAGTTAAAGGAGTATTAAACATTAGAGGAAATATATTAGGATTATCAGCAACCAGGAGGCCTGGTCGACGACCGGGCCGCGGGGACACTAAGCCCCGGAAGCACCTCAAGGTAGCCTCAAGGTAGATTAACAGGATCGGTCGCCTTCCTCAGTCCCCCCCCCCTATCCCCCCCACTCCCCAACAAACCCCCAACCAACCCCCCTACCCCCCCCCCTTCACCATTACCCCTGCCCTTCACTTCTTCAAACACAATTTCACTATTTAGTCACTATTCACCATTAAGGTCAGTTTTATTTTACAGCGTTGTGAGGGGGGGTGATGATGGAGAGGGTGATGGTGAGGGGTGGTGATGGTGATGATGGTGATGGGGGGTTGGGGAAGAGTAGTGGAGGAAACGTAGAGGACATTTGAAAAGAAGTAGATGACGGGAGAGGCTATCTTGAGGTTATCTTGAGTTGGTTTCGGGGCTTTTTTAGTGTCTCCGCGGCCCGGTCCTCGACCAGGCCTCCACCCCCAGGAAGCAGCCCGTGACAGCTGACTAACTCCCAGGTACCTATTTTTACTGCTAGGTAACAGGGGCATAGGGTGAAAGAAAAAGGAGCAAAGAAGGTAGGTAAGGAAGGGAAGAATTAAGATTGAGGGAGTAAACACAGCGGCATAAGGTAAGGGGGAGAAGGGGAAGAACGATAGTGTGGGGGAAGAACAAGCAGTCTAGGGTAGGGGGAGCGAGAGGATGATGGCGAGGGAAGGGGGGAAGGAGGGGAGGGAGAACAAATAGTCTAGGGTAAGGGGGAAAGAGCAAGGAACTGAAGAGAAATTAAATATATGACTTGTTTTTTCCTAAGGACAAATGGCGCCGCAGTGGTGCAAGGACTTGACCCCCCCCCCCTGGCTCTTGGCGCAGCAGCACATTAGGGCAGGGGTGCTGGGGGAGCAGCACATTAGGGCAGGGGTGCTGGGGGAGCAGCACATTAAGGCAGGGTGCTGGGGGGAGCAGCACATTAGGGCAGGGTGCTGGGGGGAGCAACACATTAGGGCAGGGTGCTGGGGGGAGCAGCTCATTAAGGCAGGGGTGCTGGGGGAGCAGCACATTAGGGCAGGGGTGCTGGGGGGAGCAGCACATTAGGGCAGGGTGCTGGGGGGGGGAAGCACATTAAGGCAAGGTGCTGGGGGAGAGCAGCACATTAGACTACAAAAGACTGGGTTAGGCCGGGCTCAAGAGCTAGGCTTCGACTTCTCGATACCGCATTAACGTGATCACACACGCACACACACACACACACACACCACAAGAACCATTCCTTAAGAGTTGGGATCAAATACAAGAATCTGTCTCCTCTGGACGCGTACACATCCTCCATTATCTGCACGAAGCGTTGCTTTATTGCGTACGCACTGCGTCATCTGCATCAGGATATAGAAACCCTCCACTATATAACATATACCAATTATCCAGCCTCAAGGAGGGACTATATAACTCGTATATGTGTCGAGAAATATATTGATATATATATCAATTTGATATCTTGCCTATCCCAGCCAAAGTATAATTATATATCGCAATCCAGGGGGATCCCGGGTTCGAATCCCGGGGCGCGGGACAGAAATGGTTGGGCACGCTTTCGTTGACCTTATGTCTCTGTTCACCCGGGGCTGTGTTGGGCCGAGGTCAAGCACAGTGTTGTTGCTGTGTTGTGGCCGAGCAGGTGTGGGGGTGGGGGGGGTAGGGGGAGGTGGGGGAGGCTGGGGGGGGGGAGGGGTGATGGGGGAGGGGGTGTGTGGGTGCTGTTTTTGTTGTCCTTAATTAACAGTTACGTTGTTATCAGTTAAACTGCAACCCAATGTGTTGCATTGCAACTAAATAGGGAATTTGTGTTGCAGAACTGGTGGGAAAACAATCGAATATGAACATTGGGGGAGAAGGGAGATTGGGTGGGGGAAGGGGTGGGGGAAGAGAGGGGATTGGTTGGTTGGTGGGTGGGGAAGAATGGTCGTGATCTGGCCATCCAACACTCCCCCCCCCCCACTTTCTTTCCCTCAATAACCATTACTTCCCCACCCACCCATTTTCCCTTCTCCCTGCCCCCCCCATTTCCCCCCTTTGTTTCTCCATTTCTTCCCAAGCCTCTCTTGCAAGTTTCCCCTTCCCTTCCCCTCTACTCCTATCCCTCCCCCTCCCAATATTCCCCTCCCTTTCCCCCCCCCCCCCACATAGAGCTACTCAGGTAATGCCTCTGTGATTGGAACGATTATGGCCCAATCGCCAGCGTAAAGCCGCCTATAACAGCTGCCCAATCAGCTGTACGCCGACACAGCTGGCCTCTTTCGGGAGG